ATTGAGATACAATTGAGATTTTGTTTGTAATAAACTTTTATGCGCTGTGCTCTCATTGCCATTGTATCTCATGCTTAACTGATATATAAACATATTTTATTATATTTATATTTGATTATATAAATTTGGTAAATATACATAATAGATCACATCTTACCGATTTTATCGCCACTTGGATATGATATAAGGGAGATTGTTCTGAATAATTTTCCGCAAAAATCAAATGGTGAACGGCATTAGTTTAGGAAATATAACAAATTAAAATTTGACCATCTTAATATTTTTCTTTATATATTATGAAATAATAGGAAGAATGAAGTTTGTGTACGTCGTACTAATGTATTTGTCATTTTCTAACTAGAAAAAGTTTTGTTTACAATCATTGCAAAGTGAATGCATGGAGGAGAGGCTCTGCATCCCCGCCCCGAAAAATTCTAACCTAACGCAAACCAATTTCTATTTTTTGAATAAAAATTAGATTTGCATTTGGTCAGTTTTTTTTGCGGGGGGAGGGTGGAGATGCAGGGGGAGAGGCTTTGCCTCTCGCCCACGCTTAAAAGTCGTAAACAGACTTTCGTTGTAAAAACAATGGATTAGTACAGCGTAAACTTACTATACGAGTGAAGCGAGGGGGGGATTTAAGGCGGGAGGAGGCACGAACCAAGCATCCATCTCTTCCGTGGCAGCGGCACTGTCGTGTCTGTGTAGGGCGTTTACACACTTCCTCAGCCCGACAAATAATTGTTAGAAAACAACATTTGCGGGTCTGAAAAAATATGCGAGGTACAAGTGGCTGAATCGGGAATCGAACCCGAGTCTTTCGCTTTCCGGGCAACTGCTCTTACCACTGAGCTATTCAGACCTCGCACCTTACGCCACTCTAACACAGTACATACGACTCCAGAGCGATGTTGGAATCTCGCTCCATGGATGCAGTGCGGATTGCTTTGGAGAGACGAAATCCCCAGCACGTCTCCAGATCGGTCCAAATCATAACGATTGAAAATTGGCGCCCGTAGCCGCTCAGCGATGAGTCTTGACTCGTCACCAGTATGAATGGAAGCCTCCTCGAGTAGTCCATCCTAAACCACTACGCCTAAGCAGCCCCCTCTTCTGCTCCCAATTAATAATAATCAGAATAAAACTCTTTCATTTAGTTTCATTCATAAAATATGTTGTTAAAATGAAGTTTGAATAAATATTTCCTATTGTGATTTGTTTAACATTGTTAAAATTACACATGTAACAAAAAAAAATTTAATAAAATAGTTACATTCTTCAATAAATAATCAGTGTTTGGTTTTATCAGCACTTCTGCGATACTTAAATATTTAATATAATTTAGAAGGTACAAAACCTTCTTTAATCAATACCTATCACAAGCAAAAAGAGCAGAAGAATCACGATCTTTCAAATATCAGTGTTTGATTCTAAATATTCAGTCTAGTACTTTCGGCTGAAGCAAAATTATGAAATTTAGATTCTTCTCTTTTGCCACTTTATTTATTTTTCTTTTTATTTTAACGTCAATTTTTTTCGTCGACAATTATTGAATGTTGTCTAAAATTCTAAATATGTTCGTCAATTATACCAATTATTTATTTGTAATCAATTAATCGAAAAATATAATAGAGCAAGACAAATAAAATATTTACTTTAATATATAAGAAGAACACTAAAACAGCCGCAAAAATACTGTCGCAGTAAAGAGAAATTATGTTGCAAATTTTTTGAATGCAAATTATAATGTATATGTTAACACTTACTGCATCGCACTGTGAATTTCTTCGAAATATACTTTTGAAATGATAAATGGCACAAAATTGATGAACAATTTCTCTCCAGACGAAATATAATACCCAAAACCATTGAAATCAAGAAACACGGTAGTGTCTCGCGCCAAGTCATGCGCAGCAACAGCAAGGCGTACCGTCTATCTTCACGCGAGCCGGTCAGTTGAGAGTAACGGAAATTATCAGATTTCAATAACGGCTGGACTGATTGAGATCTTACTAGGCTTAATTGATAGCTTGGGTATTAATTATATAACGAAAATATCTTTATTTTCACTCTACATGTGTCGTGCCATATTATGACGCAAATTCACAATGTGGAAATTTTCACTTAAGAAACGTTTCGACGTCGACGACGTAGTCGACCACATGAAAATGTACTTTTCTAGCTTTACACGCAAGATGGCATTAGTTGAAAATAAAGTTATCGATAATGCATAATACTGTATTGCGAGCACAATTACCATTTTCATTACTGTCGGTAATAGTTATTAATAGATATATCATTCTTTCTCTTTCGTTATCTCTCGCTTTCTTTTGTTAATTCCTGCTTTCTTTCTCTTTCTCTTCGTTTTTCGCGTATTACGCCATTGTGCATGTGCGTGCGTGTGTACGTGCTTAGAGATGAGTACGAATAATAATGCTATATGTATATATATTACACACATATACACACACACGCGCTCGCACAAAACGCACGCGCGCGCTCGCATATATATATATATATATATATATATATATATATATATATATATATATATATATATATATATATATATATATATATATATATATATATATATATATATATATATATATATATATATATATATATATATATATATATATATATATATATATATATATATATA